AAGAGACCAGTTACTTACCCTGAAGCATAGATGCCAACTTATTTTTGCGGGGGGGGCAGGGGGAATCTGATGACCCTCCTTCCCTGCCCCGGCAGCAAAGCCAGAGCAGAGCTCAGCTGACCAGAGTCCATGGTAGGGGTTGATGCAGGCTTCCCCTGCAGCCTCAGGGCCCCCCCATCCTGCTCCCTTCCCCCCGGAAGCCCTGCCACGGGGATGTTGTGCCCCCCCGCACTGCTGCCAGGTGGGCAAGGGGCACCTTGCCATGGCAACATAGCTAGTGTGGGGCTCCTAGTGGGGAGGGCAGCAAGGCATAGAGCTCTGAGGCCACAGCAGGCAGTCTGCATCTGCTCCATGCACAAATCTGGGGCACGTGCCCTCCCATGCCCCTCTCCCTGGGAGTGCATGCAGCAGCGGCAGGGAGCCACCCCTCCAGATGAGCCACCTGCTGCTCTGTCCTGCTCCCTGCCCTGGTCCCAGGCTCTATGAGCTACCCTGGCTATGCAGTGACCCAGGTCCAGCCCCTACACCTTCCTCCCTCACTGTGGGGGCCTCAATCTGCCCCTCCCCCCCCACCGCCCGACTTACCTGCAGGCAGTTGGGGGAACTGCTCTCCACCATTGCCTGGGGCTGTATTACTAGCCATGTACATGTGCACATGCACATGGTGCTCCTTCCATCATGCTCTCTGAAGCCCCCTGCAGGCTGGAACTCTGCCAGCCTCCAAGGAGAAACCCACCATTTCCTGCCTTTTTTCCACAGTGAATGGTAAACCCAGATCCCAGCACGATACTGGGAATTTGGAACAGATGCTGTCCTGGAGTCATGCAGCCTGGGACCGGGACCTGATATTCTCATTTTGGGACTGTCCTGCCCAATTAGGGACAGGTGGTCATCCTTCCCAAGGGGGACCAGGGCCCTTGGGCCCCTACATACTCAGAGTTTATGCCCCAAAGTAACTGTGGTTCTTCAAGAGGTGCTGTCTACATGAGTTCTACTTGATACACGGGCCTTCCATGAACACAAGATGTGACACTTTTTGGTGTCTAATATACTCTCAAACCCCATCTCTCCACCCAAGCACATTAAAGGCGAATGGGCACAACCATTTTTCATCTTCACATATAGAGAATTCAGATGGTACAGGATTTTACAGTGATAGTAGGTGGCAAAACTATCCATGTTATTGACATGTAGTATATTTCTGGCAAGCAAGCAGTAACCTCACAGTCAGGAGACAGGTGCTGGAAACTGTAACCGAGGATAGCAGGAGAGATCTGCCAAAGCAGGAGTTCAATCTTAAGCCCTCAATTAGAAACAATGATAGCTAAGTGTGGACTTCTTCCATCTTGTAAATATCTTCAATGGGGTGTCTTTCAAAGCTTCTGTGAGTTTTCCAATAGGATGACCAACTGGTAGACCTTAAAAATTTGTTTCACCTCATAATTTACTTAAACTCCATTTATATAGTTTTTGGATGGTTATTGCTCAACTGTTCACTTATTTGAAAGATGCTATAAACAGTCTGGGGAAGGTCCTAAAGGGACTTCCTCCATCAAAGCTGTATAAGAAAGCAGTTGTGTTAGTATATAAAGGGTATGTAGTTTGTCCTCCTTTTGATTGGATTGCACCTTGGAAGAAAGCTGATTAGTTTTATTTAGGGGGAAGCAAAAGACACTTAAGTAAGAACATTACAGGGTAGGTCACCTATAAGAACCTGAAATGCCACTACTCTTGAGTTATGGATATTAAAAATATGTCTTCATGAAAAGGTGGTATAGAGAGCCAGATTCCTAAAGAGAGATCAGTCTCATGAATCCACAGATGTTGCAAGGAATGGGTTCCTAGACTTTCAAAAATGCATAAATGAAGCTTTTAAGGAGCATCTAGCAACTATAGAGTGGGAAAATGTATCATGATCCTGAATAGGAAGATGAACAGTTGCTTAGAGACAGTCCAAAAACAGAGGCTTCCACTGAAGACAGCAGATGAACATCTTCCAAATACAAAGTTTCAGTTGTGCTGTACAGGAATTGTCACATTAGATGAGCTGGTTCTGCCACAGGATTCTCTTATTTCCTGTGTGTATGGTGAACTGATATGTAACAGTAGGTATCTTAAATGTTGACAAGCATGAATAAACCCAGTAAAGGAAATATAAAAACTAAGGTCATCATCCTGAATTTTAAATGCCAAATGAATTTGTTGAGATGGTACCTGATTTGAGATATGAACTGACTCTTCTTTTTTCCCTTGTTGAGGTTAGAAAGGCAGGGGAAAAAAAACAGGAGGAAAAAAAAAAAAAAAAAAAAGCTTTTCCTCTGAATTGCAAGGGTCCTTTCATGCTTTGAGATCCAGTAGGGAGTCTGATTTTTTTTTAACAGTATGTCATGAAAGAAGATCCTGAAGAAAGTCGAGAAGATAACCAAGGGACCAAAAATGACTGAAATAAATAAGAAGAGTACACCTCATTTGTAATTTTTTAAGAACAAGTAGTCCTATATCATTGACTGAAAATAGGGACTGGATCGGTGTAAAGTCAATCAAATCCCTTAGAACAAATCCCAAAGTAGGGGGTGCGAATGGTATGTGGGTCTGGTTTTTTGGGGGAAAAAAAAGACTAAGAACTGCTGTGGTCAGGAACCTGATCACTTTTAACTTGATGGAAGAAGGTGCCATAACTGCTGGGATTTGTCACAGATCAGTCATAGATCTAACAAGATTTAATTAATTGGCATGTTAGTTCTAGCAGGTATGAAGGCATGTAGAATCTCTAGTAATTTGTGCAACTTCTCTTAGGGTTATGATGGTAAAGGCAGTGAATTATTTCCCACTTTAAAAATTCTCTATTCCAGCATACAAATCATTAACAAACATATTGAACTGCACTAGACTGAGGACAAACCACTGTGGAACTCAACTTGAAACCTCCTGCCATTCCAGCTTAGATCCATTTGTATCCAACATAGATCCATTTGTAATAACTCTTAGCTTATGGCTATTGAGTTGGTTTTATGTCCATCTTGTAGTTGTTTAGCCCATGTTTCTCAAATCTGTTCACAAGAAAGTCAAGTGGGACTTGTGTCAAAAGTTCTTATGTGCTTTTAAAGAAAGTGCCCAGGAACTCAAATGAATGCCACAGCTCATTTGATATTGGATTTACCCAAAGAACCTTGACAGCTCATTAGGACATCTGAAAGAGACCATGAAAATTTAGCAAGGTTTTTAACCTCATGTTCTGAAGATGCCTGAATGCTCTTAAAGGAAGGAGCCTAAGACAAGCCTAGACTGGGAATTCTTAAGTCAGCTCATGGAGGTAATTAGGTCAAAGGACATGGTCATCATGGGTGACCTGAACTTTCCAGACATCTGCTGGGAAGAGCAGTCAGCCAGGTCTGACTGCTCACATAGGTTCCTAGCCGAGATACAGGACCTCCATCTAACCCCAGGAGGTGCACAGCCCCACCAGGGGAGATGCCTACTTGGATCTGGTCCTGGCCATGGGTGATGACTTGGTGAGGGGTCTGCGAGTGCTCAACCACGTGGGCGACAGCGATTATCACCTGCTGGAATTCACCATCCAGCGCAAGGTGGCAAAGGCCTGCAGCAAGGCAGCAGCCCTGGACTTCAGGAAGGCAGACTTCAATGAGGTGAGGAGAATAGTGGGGGGGGTACTGAGGTCCTGGAGGGGAGAGGAGTCAGGTGTCCAAGAAGAGTGGTCATTTCTTAAGGAGACGATCCTCCAAGCCCAAAGGGAGGTAATCCCAATACGGATCAAAGGGGGCAAGACAGCGCAAAAGCCCCCATGGCTCACCAAAAGCATACAGGAACATCTCCTAGCTAAAAAGGAGGCATACACCCAATGGAAGGGAGGGGCCATCACCAGGGAGGACTATACCTCAGTTGCTCGGGGCTACAGGGGGGTGGTCAGGAAGGTCAAGGCGGAGATGCAACTGGGACTAGCTACCCGGATCAAGGACGACAAGAAGTCCTTTTTTAAATACATAGGAGGTAAAAAGAAGGTACTGGGTAATGTGGGGCCTCTGCAAGACACGCTAGGAAATCTGGTTGTCACACCAGATGATAAAGCTAACCTATTTAACAATTTCTTTGCCTCCATTTTTCTGAGCAGGGACTCGGTCACTCCCCCACCGGGATCCCCGTAGGCGCCAGGGGAGGCGCACCCAGGCCTAGGATCAGTGAGGACCTAGTCAGGGAACTTCTGGAGGGACTGGATGTATTTAAATCAGCTAGTCCTGACTATCTCCACCCCAGAGTGCTGAGGGAATTAGCAGAGGTCATTGTGGGACCCCTGGCATGGCTTTACGAGCACTCATGGTGCCAGAGGACTGGAAAAGGGCCAATGTGGTTCCCATTTTCAAAAAAGGGAGGAAGGAGGACCCGGGAAACTATAGGTCAGTTAGTCTTACCTCGATTCTGGGTAAGCTTTTTGAGAGAATTATCCTGGCACATGTCCACTAGGGGCCAGCAGGGGAGATTATGCTTAGGGGCAACCA